GAATTTCCAGGTTGGGTCTCGCTCCGACTTTTGTCGTGTACTCCACGAGGAGGAGGACGAGTCCTAGAAAACTCCAGCATTTTTGCTGGCGCGGCCGCAGCGAAATTGCTGGTTTTTCTGCTTTCTGCATAAGGAAAAAACCAGCATGTAATGAATTGCTTCTCACTGAATAACCCCATTAGAGAACTTGGACTGATAACTCCCTAAAAAAAATTTTGGATTTTACCGATTCTTGCTGGATGATCAAATTGAAAAACACTACTATGATTGGGAACTTTTGAATTTCACATAGCTGAAAATGTTAAATTTTGTCTTAGGTATTTTGTTAACTAGTCAACATAGAGAATGTATCCTGATACTCTATTTTTGTTTATTTTAGTAATTTTAACAACAAATTTGAGGTTGATTGCCACCCATGAAGGATTAATTTTATCGCAGAGTGTTGCATGTGTCTTCTCGCGTTACATATATGGGCAAGGCAAATCCGCATTTAAGAGAAGAGGATATGAACAGGGGGGAGAGAACATTTTTGCCCAAAATGGACGTTTTCTTATTGAAACACGCGCCTTTTCTGCGACGGAGGCCCCTGTCGATATATCAAACACGTGAAGTCGATTCAGACGCGCAAAGTAGGAAAATGTTCATATTTGGTATGATCATTCGTGCAGGGTGTATGACATTGTAATACAAAAAACTTAGTTAGTCCAAAAAGTTTTTTTTTTCCTCATTTTCCCAGGCTTAACATAATTTTTAATATTTGATGTGTTTTAGGATAACCACAACATTCCGGGTTGCTGTACATGTTTTCTAGTAGTTTTCGAATCAAACTGAATGAATCAACTGAATTTCGGTTAGATGGATAGCGGGAAAAATAGAAAAACGTTATTTTTGTTCAGCAAAAAGTGTAATCTTTCAGGAAAATTTGGTTCTTTATGATTTAACTGGGGGTTCAAACAATAAACAGCAGAATCTAAAACTTTAAAAAATTTTTAGGTATTGTGAAATTCTAACATTCCAAAATATAAAATCTGAAAATCAGGCTTTCAAAAAGATTAAAGACTGAAAAAAAAGGTTTTCGTGTTCCTGAATTCCCAAACTTTACAAACGTCTAATACAAAAAAGTAAGTGAAATTCGGCTACCCAAAAATTAAAGTTCGGTGATTCTGAATTTTGAGATGAGTATTTTGCCGGATGTTAAAAGCCTAAAAACTCGTAAGACTTTTTTTCCGAAAAAGTTGTTTTATAATATAGTGACAAGGATTCTTGAAATGTACAGTTCGATTAATGTCCGGCGGAACAGATCAATTTTGAAAATCTGATACAATGGCTTGAAATCATTTGCTTTTACTGAAAATATATGTTCATTTAAACCGAGGAACTCAATTATTCTGGCTCCTTATTTTTTCAAATTTTAGAATATTGTTATTCTTTGAAAAATTGCTTTATTCAAGAGATCAAAAGAGCACAGCAAATACAAAAATCTATTCTGAAGAAAAACAATCTAAATCTGACTGAAACTTTTTTAAAAGACTTGGAACTGATCTCCTTGATTCTATTTGAAAAAAATACATGATACCATTCTACATCATCAAAATTAAATACCACAATCTTATGATTTTAACTGAATCTATCTCTGTAATCCACCAACTCCTCTCGTGTGAAACGGCGACTGTCGTCTCTATACAGATTCGGATGGGTGGCTCTACTGACTCCTTGGAATGAGCTGATATTGATTGGACCGTTGTGGTATTTGGGATAACTTGTGACGGTCAAGTTTAGCGCGTATTGCTTCATGACCCACCTGAAAAAAACTTGAAATGAAATACAACACGTTGTAATTCACTCACCGATTCCGCATTGCAACTGGCGGGAAAGAATGAGTCATCTGCCAGATGAACCTGTCTCCCTGGACGCAATCGTGGAAAATTTGAACTCCGGGTTCGTAGTAAATTTGCTGAAATCAGCATAAAATAAACTGATTTTGTTTTTTTCTTTGTTTTTAATAAATTATTTGTCAAAAAAACCAGATTTCAAAATGCTCTTTTCGTTTTCAAAAAATTTCCAAAAAAAAATTTTAAAATATAGACTCACCCCGGGTCCATCACCGCCTTTAAAAACCACAGCCGCATTATGGTGCAAAACTCCTGTGTCCGTGCATTGCGTAGGGACTTGTTTGAGCATATCGTCTCTGAAAAAAAGAGATTCCTAGTCATTACCTCTTATGAAAACTTACCCGGCAGTGTCAATTTCAATATAAACAAGATAAGCGCAAAAATTCTTGAATTGTGGACAAAGAAGAGCTCCGTCGTAGCCCATGACAGTCTTCGAGTCATCAGAGAGGAAGAACAACGTGTTGGAATCGATCGATACCGCGACGATCTGGTTCAGAAGAACCAGCGGGAGAAGGAAAAATAATTTCATGATATTATTTTTTTTTCCACGATTTTATTTCCTTGAAAGTCATTTGTGTTTTCAAGAGACCAAACCATTTTGAAAGGAGTACCGAGAACCTTTGAAAAATCTAAGAGGAAGGAGTCATAGATTAGGTAATGAGCAGAAAAATTGTATTTACGGAACATTTTCAAAACTAGAATATTCATTTTGTAGGCAGGGGAGATTTCAATTTTATTATTACATAGCTCAAACTGCAAAGTTTATGCTTTATCGAACTCTGAGAAATGAGATTTTACTAACATATAATTTTTCCTCTTCTACTTATCTTTGAATTTTTAACAAATTAAGAAAATGAGTAAATAAATCCTGAAAGAGAAAAAAAGAGAACATTAGGTTCAAAAAGTTTTATGCTTCACTTTTCGCCGACGACTTTGATCAGAGCTCACTTTTCTTCTTTTCGACGAACTTTTTTTTGCCTCCAGCTCTTTTTTTTTTTGTTCGTTCGGCCCCTTCTTTTTGATGGTTCTCTATCTCTCTCTCTCTCTTCTCATTTTTTCATGAATTCCTGGCGGCAAAAGTCAGCTGCAAACGCTATTACACATTCTGGAAAAAATCATAACTTTTCAATGACGCAAGACAAGAAAAAAGTAATGGTTTTTTCTCAGAAATCGCAGAGTGGCGGATAAGCAATGCACATGAAAAATAACGACGAAAGATTATTGCTGACGTTTTGAATAGAAAAACTTGATTAAAAACTCTATGGAAACAATGAAAAAACATAAAAATCCAAGAAAATGTTCGCTCTTTGATTTAAAGGAGACGAGACAGCAAAAATTTAGGGGGACAGTTCGGGGGATGAAATCGCGCCACGCTTATGTAGACCATTGGTCGTCAAGCGCCCCCGTCTCTCAGCCGGTAGTGGCGCTGTACCCCTGAGCTGCCTGTCATGAGTTCAACCCCTCGTGGGGGTTCTCTATGCAAAAAATCAGGAAAACTTTTTTTTTGGTGTCGGGCCTCCTTTAACGAAAGTTTAAAATATATTCTGGCGTTTCAAGAATAAACGTCGGGTTTCAGAATGTGTCAGGGACATAGTTTTGAAAATCCTCAAATGATCCCAAAATGCTGCAGTGTCTTGTTTTCACCTATTTTATTCAAAATCGTGCCTCCAACCGATAAGGTCACCAAGAAGATTCTTCACACACAAGTTCACCTATTTTATTTGATTTATGTTTTAAAATTAGTTTTTGCTTTTCTTATTGTTCTTTTTTCCATTTTTAAAAATGTTTCGCATCCTAATAGTTTTCGATTTTCAAAGTACAGTTCAAAAAACGTTGTAGTCAATGGGCATTCAATGTGGACTCCTATTTTAGAAGAGACCTTACTAGAAAACTAGGAGGGAATTATTTAAAGCACACTTTTTCAATTTCTCAATAATTGAGAAATTCTGGATAATTGAAAATTGATTTTTGCGATTTCTGAAACTCTTAGTTTTTGAAGTTCTTGTTAACTGATTAATGGAATTTCTAATTCAGAAATTAAGATTTACAAGTGTCTCAGGAGGTCAGGGTATCTGATATTTAAAAAAATTACAACGCAGAATTTTTAATTTTCGAAATTTCGAGTGTTGTGAAATTCTAGCATTCCAAAAATAGAAATCCGGTTTTCAAAAAGATGTAATAATTAGAAAACAATTTTTTTCAATTCCTGAATCTAATATAACGCTCTCCCAGCTATACATTAAAAAATAGAACGACTTGGTTAAATTAGGGTTTTTACGGTATTTGTTTACAACTAATACAATAGTAATTATGAATACAAACGAATTGATGAATAGACAAGGCTCTAAATGATTCCATATCGAATTCGCAATGGTAAGAATGTAAACGCGCCAAACAACAACAAAACATCTGAAAAATCATTTAAAAAGTCAAGAAATTGCGTGACCAAAACATTCAAAAAATCGGTTCTAGTTGTTTATTTCGGCCATTAATTTTTTTGGTCCTTAGAATTATTGTTGGTCCTTAGATTATTTTTGGTCCTTGGAAATATTTTAAATGTTTATATTAATTTCCAGCCTGAATTTTCTTTTTCTTTGAATTTTGAATTTTCTGAATTTTTTTTCTGGGGTACAGGATGCCCAGTGAGGAAAGATTTTAGAACTTATCTTGATTTTCAATGAAAACGGCCTCAATATTACAGCTCTCAATTTAGTGTTGATTTCTCCGTTTTTTTTTTGAGATTCAAAATTTCGTTAGGTTGAATTAAAAGGAGACTCTGATAAAAAATGATTATCTCAAAATGGAAACTTCTAGGATGTTCTGGAATCATTTTTGCATTACTCGGAAAACTGAAAACTCAGTTTTAAATTCCTAACACTTCTTTGGAAAATACCTAGAAAAGTCAGTTATGCCGGAAATTCAGAAACATTCCCGAACTTTCTGAAATTGTTCTTTTCGAGCGATTTTTTGATGTTGAAAAATTTGCAACTTTCAATTCTTCTTCGTTGCTATCTGGAGCTAGGTTTTTTTCTACACATCTTAGTTTAACTTTTCGATCGAAGTCCCCTTTAAATATTACACACGTTCCAAGCATTAAAAGTGTATTTTTCCTTTCGTTTTCTTTTTTTCTGTCAAATGCATGTGTGTTCGACGAACTCTTCTGAGAATTCTCGAAATTCTTAGAAGAGAGAACGAGCAAAAAAAAAAAGAGAAGTGTAAGAGAAAAGTTCGGCGGGACTGGGGAAACTCGAAGCACATAAAGTGGACAGCCACAATTCCCTTCTTTCTTTTTCTTTCTTCTTATACGTTTTTGAACTACTGAGCATCATGTTCTTGATCTGTTAAGAATCCAAAGATGAGAAGATAAAGAAAAATTATAATTTTAGTAAAATCTCATTTCCGCAGATACAACTTTTTATGCTCATTTCCTAATCTATGACTCTGGTCCTCTTTCCATTTTTCCAAGGTTCTCGTTTCTTCCTCAAAAATAACTTGGTTCAAAAATTCATATGGCTTTCAGGAAAATAAGTCCGTGGTAAAAAAAGCAATCATGAGATTCCTTTTGTTTGTCCCGCTGTTTCTTCTCATCCACGTCGTCGCGGAATCAATCGATTCCAACACTTTATTCTTCCTCTCCGACGACTCGAAGACTGTCGTAGGCTATGACGGTGCACTTCATTGTCAATCATTCAGACACTTCTGTGCATATCTCGTTTATATTGAAATCGACGCCGTCGGGTGAGTTCTTTTAAGAGAGAATGACTGGAAATCTCTTTTTTTCAGAGACGATATGATCAAGAAAGTTCCAACACAATGCACGGACACAGGAGTGCTGTATCATAATGCGGCTGTTGTGTTCAAAGGCGGTGATGGACCTGGGGTGAGTCTATATTTTTGAATTTTCATTATAGAAGTTTTAGAAAACGAAAATACAATTTTTTAAATTTGGCTATCGCCTTGTGTATGACCTAGAAATTTTTTCAGATTAAATATTTTAAAAAATTAGAACTGAAATCAATTTATTCTACTCCGATTTCAGCAGCATTATGAACCCGGAGTTCAGATTTTCCACGACTGCACCAGAATCAGAAACATCTGGCAGATGACCAGTGCTTTGCCGACAGTGTCTATGAGAAATCGGTGAGGGAATTACAACGTGTTGTACTTCAATTTACGTTTTTTTCAGGTTTGTAATGACTCAATACTCATTGAATTTGTCAGTCACAAGTTACCCTGATTACCACAACGGACCTATTGATACCAGCTCGTTCAAATGGGTTAGTAAAAGTACCCACCCCAATCTGTACAAAGACGACAGTCGCCGGTTCACGAAAGAGGAGTTGGAGGATTACAAAGATAGATTCCCCTAAAATCATATAGTTTCAATATTTGATTTGGATCCCACAATAATGAACCATGTTTTATATTTGAACAGAACCAACGAAATTAGTATTTTTTTGGACTTTCAGCAAAGTTCCAATCAGATTTATATTTCTTATTCTTCGAAATCCATTCTCGTAGTTGGTATTTTCTTTTAGTTTCTTGAATAAATTTTTTTTTGAAAAATCGAGAATTAGATTTTTAAGTTTTGTCGCTGTGAATCGGGACGAATACGAGAGAAGAGGATCTGCCTGAAATGTAAATAAAATAAGATAATAATTCAGAAAATAGGAGTTGTTTTCTTCGATTCCTGGAAACAAAATTTTCAAAAATTCAGTTTATTTTTAACAAAAAATTACCAGTTTGTTGCGATATTTCCCAACCACTTGGCATTAAAAGTTGACCTGAATTTCATTTTTCTGAAAAATTTAAATAATATGACAGGAATTCAAAGAAAGAATTACCCGATAAGTTTCGTACTCTTTTTTCGAGAACAACTGTTTCATACAGATTCATGCAAATGAGGTACAGGGCTGAAAACCGAATAAGCGCAAACTGCAGATGAGAGTTCTGAGTTAACATTCGCGACCCGTTGAAGCAAAATAACTTTTTTGGATGGAGTCATGATAAAATCTTGCTAACTAAGAAATTAAAGTTCTATTTATGGTAAATAAATGTGAAAAACTTCAAATGTATCTCGCCATATTTACTATATTTTCGACTTACCTTGAGTTAGCTTCAATAAACTCATATGATTAACTTTTGCACTCTTTTATCAGTACTTTCTTTGGAAAACTCTTTGATCAGTACTTTCTTTGGAAAACACGCTTTGGAAAACTAAATAATGCATTTAATAATGTTTAACGAGTTTTTGTAAATAATCTGACATACCGTAAAACCTGTAATAGGGGGAATACATTGCGATTGAACTTCAAGAACTCCTCGAGTGGTTCAGGGACATTGCAGCCGGACTGGTTGCAAAGGCACCTCATAGCCGTGCTTGGTGGATGTGGCGGCTTGTGGAGTTGGAGTTTCTGCAAATAAAATGATTTCAAACTGTGGATAATTATTTGTTTTCTCACTTCTATAGCACAGATGACGATTGCTTCGTAGTCCTCCTCGGAGTTCTTCTCTGAATAATCGAAGACCGAGAGCAGTGGGTCGTAGTATTCCGACCCGACCCCATTTACTGCAAAAGTCTCGAATTTGATTCCTTTGGAG